GCAAGGATCGATCCTTGGGTCAATACCATTCCTTATAAACATAAATGCCTTCCCTTTGGCTTTAAGGAATAACAAAATAAATTTGTTTGCAGATGACACAAACGTAATCAAAGCAAAAAAACAACAATCATTAGAAAAAGAAACTCTCAAAACTTTGCAAGCACTAGTAAAATGGGTTCAAGGCAATAAACTCATCATAAACACCAGCAAGACACTCTCTCTAAATTTCATCCCCGATCTAAAGAAAAACTCTTACAGCATTTGCTAATAAATAATAATCCTATAACGATATCTCATGAAACTACCTCCCTCGGTCTAACAATTCAAGAAAACCTAGAATGGAATGCTCACATCTCAAATCTTAACAAGAAGCTCACCAAATCTTGCTACGCCATATACACCCTCAGATCAAGCTCCAACATTGAGACACTTCGAACAATGTATTTTGCAAATGTGCACTCACACCTAAAATATGGAACAATATTCTGGGGAAATGCCCCTGAAAGCACTTGCACATTCATTATTCAAAAAAGAATATTGCAAACAATGACCAGCACTCATAAGCTGCTGGAGTCTTGAAACACTTGTTCAATAAACTAAGGATTCTTCCTCTACCATGCATGTATAAATTTGAAATAGTGGTCTTCACAAAGAAAATTATCGTGGAAAACAACAGACACTTTTACACTAAATTACGATGTACACAACTACAAAACTCATCAAAAGGATAACCTACATGTTCCCCACTCTGAACCTACACTTTATCAAAAAAGTACCTAATATAGGGCATTATACACTACAACAAACTAGGCAATGATATTAAAGACATAAACACAATTTATGCATCTAAAAGTAACCTGAAAGCTTTCCTGCTTAACAACATGTTCTACAGTGTGGAGGAATATTCAAATCACAACAATATTTTGCTGAAAAAAATATAAATAAATAAAAATTTCTGTAATCTAGCTGTAGCAAGTATTGTAGTACATAATTCCTAGGCCAATGATCGCATCTTGATCAGGTTTTTGTTCAGTTTCTCTGGTCTCTTAAGCAAATGCTGAGATAACCCCTTGTTTTGCTCCTGAACAGCAATGTAACTTTGCTCTCTCCACCCAAGAATTATTATTATTACTGCTTGGGTTTGGATTCTGACAATTCATTAGGTGTTCAGGTCTCACATCCAAGTGGTTCACTTGCTTGTTGGAATTAATGAAACCCATGATACTGAACAAGGACAAAACACTCTCTTGTAATCATACAATCATCAAACAGAAAAATTTCTGCCTTCCTGAAACCATTGTTAATCACAGTTTGATCAGTGAGGGCCAAACCTTAGTTGACATATTTGCTAAGTCACACTTCGGTAGTTTCTGACCAAAATGTTTCCTTTGCTGAAACGCTACTGCTTCTGAGTAGCCAAGTTTCTGAGCATTTTTTTCTTTCTCGGGACGCTTACGCAATATCGAGAAAGTATTGTAACGCTGCCGGAAAAGGGCAAATTTTCGTCACAA